ACACACACACACACACACACACACACACACACACACACACACACACACACTGTGTCTCTCTGAGTGAGAGAGGTTTCCAGCTCCACCAATTCCTCCACTTGTCCCTTAACAAAGAAAAAAAAAAAAAAAAACCTAAGAATTCCAGAGAGGGCCCTTCATGAGCTTTATGAATCTTCTTTGGCTTATTTTGAGATTTTGGCCATTGAAAGAAGATGACGCTGTTCTCAAAGCGTCTGGCAACTTTTTCCTGCTATCCACTGAACTCTAGCAGAGAGAGGATCCCAGTACGATGTCATTTCACTGCAAAACACAGCCGCACTACTTTTTGCTCCTCCCAGTCCCACCCCTGTGTTCCTCCAGGCTGTTACCCAGTTCTCCGCATGCCCCAACCCCTCCTGCCAATCCCCCTCAGATTAAAAGAAAATCCGAAGAGGCTAGGGCACAAAGGGGGCAAATGGAAATCTACAGTCTTTAGTTTCTATCTTTCCTTCTTGGGGCTAATTTTCCGTTTCTTGGTTGTTCTGATCTCAGCTATTTGCAATAGTTATATATAATTTAACATTATACAAAAGTATTGTCATATCAAACATAGTGAAATGGATTCCAAAAACACCATCTGGTATTTGGGAATGCACTGTGAGTTGGGAACGTGAGAAGAGATATTCTTTGCCACTTTGCTTGGGCCCCAGCCATTAGCAGTGTAATTGCCAAGAAAAGGTGACAGGCTCCCAGCTTAAAACAAGTGGGTTCCTCCCCCTTCGCCTATTAACTCTTCTGCGTCCTACACCATGTTAAAAGGGACTCTGAGGATCAAGCAATTTAGGGAAGGAAGAAAGAGAGAGGGAGGGAAGGAAGGAGGGAGGGAGGGAGAGAAAGAGGTGGGGGAACATGCAGAGATGAATTAAGAGACAGAGGAAAGGGAGGTCTGGGGACTGGAGTATTTGTGCTTTCAAATTATCTGGGTTTTCGGTAGATTTGCATGTTGAGCGTTTTAGTCCAAAGCCCGTTTCAAAATCCTCATTAGTTTCCTCTAATCCACCTAAAATTATGGAGGCCTAGATTGTGAAGGTCATCTGTGATGAAGGCCTATATTACGAAGGTCATCTGTGATAGTCAAACCTATCACAGGGTTAGTATCTACTTCTCTGTAGGAAAAAAGAGAATTCGTAACATCAAATTCTCTCCTGGAAACACTGTTTGGAGGAGGGCCACACAAAGGAAACAAAGGAAAGAGGACTCTCCACATTTACAAACCTGTCCCTGGCTTGTCCAGGCTGAGCTAAGAGGAGTCAGGAGCAAATAAGAAATAAAAATAAGTTAAAAAACCCAGTGCCAAGGCAATTGTGTCGTACTACCGGGCAGAAATCAGGGAGGACTTTTTAGCACGAGATAAAAATAAAGAAACAGCAAGAAGGGAAAAAAAAAAAAAAAAAAAAAAAAAGCAAGCACAGGCTCTCCTCTCATAGCTCCGCTCAGCCTGGCGTTCACATCCAGGGTCCAGGTCTGCTTCAGGCGACAAAAGGAGTTCACAGTCATTTTTTTTTTCCCACTCGGGTGTCAGAAGTTAGGATGTGCGACCCAGACCTGCCATTCCATTACACGGAGTCAAATGATATCGAGTGGGTGGATGAGCGCTTGCCAAGGCAGAACAGTGAAAGCTAACTCTCTCCGCCGAGCTCCTGTTTTTAAATATTTATATCTCTGGCAGACTTTTTTGGGGTAGAGGAAACTGAAGGCTCTTTTGCTATCTGTCATTTCACCCAGGCAGGGGAGAGAGTCGCACAACTTGATTTTCCTAGAGTTTGGCACCGGGAACAGGCGATGGCGCGTCTTTGGGGTGGTGAATTTTGCTTTGTGGAAAAAATGGCCCGGACCAAGGATTTTTACAGGAGGCAGCAGCCGCTTTCCATGCCGGCTTGGGGAGGGGCCAAGTTCCCATTAGCACTGCTGTTACAGCTCTGGCTTGCCTTGCAGTAGGCTGATACTGGCAGTGGTCATGGCCTGTTAGAAAACCTCCCGGGGAAACACTGGTAGCCTGGGGTGCAGAGACGTATTCAGCACCAGGGACTGGACATTGGGCTCACCCCTCTGGCCACCAGCACAAATTCTTTTTGTAGTCATCAGTTTGCTTCTGGCCACCCCTAGTCTGGATGGTCTGACTTCCTCCTCTGCTCCTCCCTCTTCTACCTCTGCTCCCTATCCTGGGGCTTGAAATACAACACTGGCCTTCTGGCAGCGAAGCAACGTCAGCATACACACACACACACACACACACACACACAGAGCAATGGTTCAAGAGGGTAAATATGGAAGTGAAAAGACCTGCCTCTTAACGGTGGCTCTGCCTACTCCTACCTATGGAACCACTGTTAACTACAAGGCCTCTGCCATAGCACAGAAGATGGGCTCATTTCTCAAAAGGACATTGTGGGGTCTAAGACAGCTCATAAGTTATAAGGGATCTGAGACTATTTGTCACCTCATGAGCACTCATTTTATATGTTAGCTGGTGTCTTTTATAACAAAATACATGAGAAAATAACTCAAGGGAAGAAAGACTGATTTGGGTTCGATTCATCCTGAGCCATAGCAGGGCAGAAACATCACAGGATGCTGGCAGCATGCATGGAGGAAAAAGCTGCTCATTTCACTGTGGCAGGAAGCCGAAAAAGAGAGGAAGGGGGCAGGGACAAGATATCCTTCAAAGGCGTATCCTTAGCAACCTACATCTTCCTACTAAACCCCAACTCCTAATAGCCTCTTGAGCTAGAAACCTGCTCACGGGTTAATCCATTGCTGAACTTTGTACCTTCATGATCCATTCACCTCTCAGTTCAGTTACCACTAGCTGGAGACACAACCCTTTTTCGGGACATTATTTCATATCTAAACCATAACAATATGCTATGGTTTTTGCCATCATCAACACTGGCAAATGGTTATATCTTCAAACCTTTTCAATACCAAGTATTTTCTTGAATACTAAAGATGTGGAGAGGAGTAACACAGAACCTCCCTTCTGGGGGTTCTCCATTGGGAGAATCTGGTTAAGCAACCACAAGACAACTACATATAACTCAATTCAACTCAAATTCCTTTTAATTTTTATTTTATTTTATTTTATTTATTTTTGGACCGATGTTTTGGAACTGGGTTTCTTCTCTCTGTAACAGTCCTGGCTGTCCTAGAACTCAATCTATAGACCAGGCTGGTCTCAAACTCACAGAGATCTGCCTGCCTCTGCCTCCCAAGTGCTTGGGGATTAAAGACACGTGCCACTATGCCCAGTTAATTTTTTATTTTCTAAGGTTTTTTTTTTCCCTATCATTTATCAGTAAACCCACAACCATAATGATAATGACTATTAAATCGGCCTTCGGACGAGCCAGGCCTCTAACAAGACCTTTACACATCTTGCCTAATGTGGGTGTTGGGTCATAGAACAAAAGCTAGTGAATGAATACCAAGTACCTTGCACAGGAACTTAAGATCCCTAATATGTCTGAGCCAATGAAAAACAGAAAATTCCTGCTTTTGTTTCCTTTGGACAAGTGAATCTGCTCTTATCTTGAAAAGGATGAGCATGTGAGTTGTTTAGGTCAGAGGTAGGAGCCATTGAGGACATAAACATTGTTCTTTGGCCTAACACTTTCCCATCATTTACTATATACTCTGAAGCTCTAATAGACAAAAATAATTAAACACAAAATCTTCCTTCAAGGAAAATTAAATCATGCAGGAGTTTTAGGTTTTAGCTTGCTGAATGATTTTTTTTTTTTTTTTTTTTTTTTTTTTTTGCCTAGTATGTGCAAGGGCCTAGGTTCAATCTCCAGCACGGAAAGGATAAAAAGGAATAAAGCATGTTTATAACTAAACCATGATGCGCAGGCAAGAGTAAGGAACATCAAGGAGCTGGCATTTCTAAACTCCATTCCTTCCAGCAAGGATTCAATGGGAAGAGACCCTCAGGAGTATGACACACACTTTATGATGAGTGTGCAGGAGGAAACCTCTTAAGTAGGAAGGGTTGTGGGTGTGCTGGTATGAGTTATTAGTTATATCTCTTAAAACAGACCCACGAAAAGTTAGTCTGTCCATGAACTTGGATCTTGGAAGGACTGGGTGACGGGGGTGGATGTCAAAGACAGTGGTGCCTTGCCAAATTTTATAAACAAAATCGTTGCTTAATAAATATTCCTCAATAATAACACCATATGATGTTACTTAATGAATATTACTGATGGGGAAGCCATGTGCTGAGCTGATGGGGAAAAAAATCAACCAATTCAATTTTTCTATTGGCTCCCAACAAAACACTTATCAAGCAAAAATTCTGCACCAGTTTAAGAACTGAAAATACAAAAATGAGCAAGCCATCATCTGTTCTGTCAATCTAAAAAACAAGAAAACAGATAAATTCTCCAAAGAATCATGGTATTTCTTTGGAAAAGGCAAAGCCGCACTGTAACAGGGGTGACAGAACTTTATGCTTTGAGGTTGCAGTGATTGGAAGCCATGGGTATATCAGCATTGGAAGAAAAGGGAAGTTTTTAAAGGCAAAACAAGGAGAACTCTGGCAGATAGTGTGAAATAGTTGCCATCGGCAATTGATTAACCAAAGTCTGAGGTTGAATAGAAAGTTCCTGGGTAGCTGTCCCTGTCAAAGTGGTCTTTATATAAGGTTGTGGACACTCTGCAAGGTTGTGATTCTGGAAGAATCTTTTATCATTACCGTAAGGCATACATACAAAAAAGCATGCCTTTCACCCACTTTATCTACTTCTTTTATTTAAGACTGACACAAGCGATTCCCTTTCAAATGGCAGTTTTCATTCTTTTCACTGTTGAGAAGTACATGGTCCAGGAACAGATGCAAGTATGTGAAGTAATAATTCAAAATACATCAAAATCGTGTAGCAGGGTGCTACTACCAGTCCATGGGGGCCCAGAGAGAAACCGCATAATGAGCATGGAGAGAAAGCAGAAAACGGACAGTTCAAGTTCAAGACTGGAAGCACACTTGTCCTTGAATGATGCTTTGTGATCTCCAAATGAGCAATGGGCAATGTCACCTGTCGTTTTCCTCCTCTTTGTCATAGCCACCACACTGAGGTAAAGCCAGCCCAAAGGGAGGCGTGGACTGTATTTGTTAGTGCTGGAAGAACTCTTTAAGTAGCATGTTGTCAACTTGTTTTTGGCTATCATGGAATGAATGTACATATTTTAGTTTTACTGATTAAAAATAAATGTTAGTTGATCTCTTAGAACTAATAATACTTTCTCATGCTCAAAGATGAACAGAAATGAATTTATTCTGAATAACTGCAGCATTTCATGTTGGGTTACAGATGATATTCCTTTGTGTTGTTTTATTTCAATATTTTTTTAATTCCCAGCCTCCCACAAATTTTGACTGCCTTGGTAAGGAGTGAAGGTGGTAGTCTCTGTGGACTTTTTCTTTGATTTTCGTTAACGGCCTGAATTACGATCTCAAGATACTCTTCATTTACTACATACAGTCCAGAACTCTGAAAATGGGAGAGTAAGATATTTCAATTTCACTGGTGAACCCATGACAAATTGTTAGGCCAGCTCTCTGTGCTTCTTGATGACAGACAGACAATCATAAGCTGACATATAAGTAGCTCAAAACTTAGACAAAGCTGTTTATAGTAAGGATTCATGTCCTTAAGTTCAGCCTGTCATAAGTTCACAAGGGCCTCGACTGGCCTATGCAGCATGACAGGCTAGGGAGCAACCAATGGGATATTTGCTTGATTATCTCCGTGGGACCTACAGGTCACTTGCACAACTTCAGCTCCAAGATCTGACTTCTACAAAGACCATTTTGTAGAGCTGCCATCTTCTCAGCTAGTGGCCTGTTAAAGAAATGTAAAACATGGGTACAGATATAACTTATTTCTTTATCATTGAAAAAATGCATGGACTGTGGGATTGTTGGTCCTTTGTGGCTTATTGGTGTTTTCATACATTAAAAATTTGATGAAAATTATGGTTTAATAAATTTTTAGTCCTACCCAAGCTTTGATAGCCCTGCCATATGTGGTAAAACAAAAAGAAACAATAAAAAAGACTACTTTTAAGTCTTTGTTAACAGTCTAAAGTTAAAGCCAGGCCATGTGTATACAACTTCTTCAGACTTTTCTGAGTGTACATGGACATTTTCAGTTGCTAAATATAGAAAACACGAGTCAAATAGGCTTACTAAACACTACAGAATACTGGATTGGAGCTCTTCCCAGCTTTGCCACCTTCTACTTGCTATCAAACCTACTCTCCATCTCTTATAGAGGCCAAGATCTTAGAACAGAAGACAGGGAAGTTGCTCCAGTATCAGTCATATGAATATGTCAAAATTAAGTGAGCCAGCAGGAACCTGGAGGTATTGACATCAGAGATTGGGAGCAATTCAAAGACTAGACATTGGTGCCCAATGTTGTTGATAAAAGCAACAAAATAAGAAAGCATATTCCTCCCAAATGGCTTCTGGGAGTTTCTGGTCCACAATGTCATTGAGCAGGAACTGCTGCTAATATGTAACTAATTTTACTGTACTGAGATTGCTCCCAATGGTTCCTCCAAGAACCTCAAGGCCAACATAAAAAGAGCAGCCCAGGTGGCTGCTGGAGCCATTTGTCCTAATGCCAGGCTTTACAGCAAAAAAGTAAATACATTTCCTTTGTGTTTAAATAAAACAATGAAAACTGTGCCTAAGAGCAACAGACTTATCTTTAGTCAAGGCTGATCCAGAAATCATAGTAATCTAGGCTCTCCATGCTGCCTTCCTTGGATTCCTCCTGAGTAGCTTCATTATTCCTCTCTGAGAAACATTTCATCTTTCCCAGCTGATTCATCAAAGATTCATTCCATTTGGATTTGTCCAGATGTTATGGTCTATTCTTAAAACAAAACTGTGGCCAGAAGATGGAAGATACTGCTTGATATATCTCAGCCATTTGTCCCACAGCTAGAGCGGGACCTGGAAGCAATGGGGCTCTAAGTTAGCTCTGGGTCATTCGGATGAGTGACAGGTGAGAATAAAGGTTGCAGATGTAGCCACAAACATCACAAACCTCCACTGGCTTGCAGAACACTGTTGTCACTATAAAAGAAGATCTTCAGATGCAATCTGGGAAAGATGCTGCATACTGCAAGGATGCACTGTGGCTTCTGCAAGGATGAAGAAAGGTTGTTCCAGCTCTTGCAGAGTACAGGGCCATGTCTGTAAACACATCTGTGAGTTTCTCTACTTTAAATCACTTAGGAAACAGAGTTCTCCCCACCTTCAGTTTTGGGTTGGTGCCTCACCGAAAGAGTTGACCAATGGACTTCTTAAATGGGGGGAGCACAAAATAAATCAACAGAGTGCTTTCTGTAGACTAAAAAGAAAGAAGAAACTACAGTTTTGCCATTTGGACCCAAAGTTTTGGATAGGACAAAATGGTCCAGAGAGACAAAGGGAAATTTTCTAAGGAAGGCTCTGGCTCCCATCATAAACAGCTTATTAACTCCCTACTGGTCTCCAAGAAGAAATATGCCACAAAGCCATAGTTCTGTCAGGCAGTTTGAAGGGAGACAACATCTCAGTGCATCACAGGGACACAATTCCTAGGTAGATGAATTCCATCAGTGCCAGCCAGTTAGCAGGAATCGTGCTACCTTGATCTCTGAGAACTCCTGAAACCTCAACTTGTTGGTGAGATCTTTGAATTTTATCACGGGAAAGCTGAGGCTCCTTCACCTAGAACACAAGAGGCAGACACAATCATGTGAATGAATTACCCCATCCCCACATCAAATCACGAGGCATAGATTTTACTGCATTTAACAGCTAAGTTAGCAGGTGTCACGGAAAACTAGATTGATTGTGGCTTGACCCAGAAAGTTCCTTCTTTTTCTGAGTTTAGCTCTGTCCAAAGGAGACCCAAGTCCTGGAAATGCCTCCTGGCTCCCTGTGGGAAGTCAGCATGGACACTCAGCCCCAGAAAGCTGGTCCCAGCCTCCTCACCCCGTCTGTGAGGTCCAGATCCTGGGCAGATGTCTCTCACCATATGCTGGGGGTGATTTAACAAGGCCAAATGGGCAGCCTGGCCAGAGGCACTCTGGGGCGCTGGGTTCCGCCTAGCAAAGCGCACTGCTGCCGCCTGCCCGGCTGGCCCAGCCTGGCCACTCCTTCCTGGAGGAGAGACAGCAGCCGTGATTGCAGATGCCAAGCAGCGGAAGATATTTTTAAAGCTGCAGCATCTGGCTCCTTGGCAGCCTTCACCTGCTGGTGGGCTGGGTGTTTTGGAGTCGCCTCTGGGCACTTCACATGGCTTGGCATCTGATTATTGTCTAGGCCTGCCTTTGAGAGCTGAGCTGTGGCTGTGGGGCAGGAGATCCTTGACACCCACTGTTGGTTGTGACCTGGGTCTCCCCTCTCGGTGACATCAGTATGTTTCTGCATCTTTTGTATTTTTTTACTTCCCTTTTCTAAAAAAAAAAGTGATAAAAGAAAGATCATTTCCTCTCTGCCAGAGTGGTTTTGAATAGACAGAGCCAGCAGCTCGCAGCTGCCCACCAGTGCCCACCCTGGCTGTTCTCTCTGACTGGCTTAGAACAGGCTTTCTTGGCATTCAAACTTCCCTCCGGCTTCACTATTCCTCTAATGTCTCCCTGGAGAGGGAGGGGCTTACCTTTTCTTTCCTTCTTCCTTTTTTTTTTTAATCCTGTTTCTGCAAGAGATTCTGAGGCTTCCTGCATACATCCAGATACACACAGAAAGAAAGAAAGAAAGAAAGAAAGAAAGAAAGAAAGAGAGAGAGAGAGAGAGAGAGAGAGAGAGAGAGAGAGAGAGAGAGAGAGAG